ACGTGAAAGCCCAGCCTCTCCTGGTTCCTCACTTACCTTCTTGTTTCCTTGGAAATCTCTGAGCTCTGCCAACTGACCTGAGATTTTTTGGCTCTTTGGGGCTGCCTTTTCCTGACTTTCTACATAAGTCCCACACCTTTTGATCCCGAAAGCTCTGCCACCTGGGACCTACAAGGTTTCTCAGATAATCCCGTGGAGCTGCTGCTTTGTAACGTGCCTCACTTTGATATTCAAGGCAAAGCTGGACAGCCCACACATGAAAAGACATCCTTCCCTTTCTTCCCAGCCTTAATTCCATCTGCAAATTAAACATTTCGAGGCAGATATTTGTAGAGGAGTGCCCTGATCCTCCCGGGAGGGCCCTGGAGTCTCCAATGTGTAATTTTGCTATAGGAATATGATTTTAATCTTGATTTTTTTTTTTTTCTGAGGCTGGTGACAGGAGAGGAGAAGGGCAGGGAAGGGGGGATGCTGGAGGTGGGGCTGATGCAGTGTGGGGTGGTTGGATGTACCCAGGGGCTCCAGGCTCTTTCTGCTTCCCTGTCCTTGTCCTCTGTAAAGCTGTCTCGGGACATGGGTCTTAAAAGGTGACAATTGTTACTTTTGAAAGTACAGGGTATGTAAACTTTGCCAGCAAGAGCTTTCAGCTGTGATTTACAAAAAAAAAATTTAAAAAAACCAAAAAAAACCAAACCAAACCGACCTGCTTTACAAATGGTGCACAGATTGAAACAACTGCTCAGTCCTGCTGGTCCTTTGTGGCAAGAACCTCTCACAGAATCATCCATCCCCCTGTATCCCAGTCCTCCACCCCACATTTTCACTGTGGGCAACCCCCAGCACTAAAGAGAAAAAAAAAATACAAAAAGGGAATATTTGGGCTTATGTCATTTACAGATATGCCCTAGAGCAGAGGATAAAGGACTTTTATTTTGTTTCCCAGTTAAGTATTTTCATTTTATCTTCTTGTTAAAGGGTAACTCGGTGCTATCATTTGCCCAGCATCACTCACTTAAACATCCTCCTGATGGGAAGAGTTCAGGGCAGGGAAACTTGCAGGAAAGATGGTTTCAGTAGTAATAAGAAGGAAGGGTTTGGCACATTTCTGCATACTATGAGGGATGTCTTTAAGGTTCAGTAAACTTTTGGAGTCCCTGGGAAGCTGGTAATGTACCTTTGAAGGAAGGATGACTTATGAAATTGCAGTTTTTAGCTTAGCTGGGTAATGTTAATGAGAAAATATCATGGGCTGCAAGTGGAAGTCTCCTGAATCCCATAAGTTAGGAGTAAATTATTCTGTTTTCCTAAATGAAGCAGTGCTGTGCAATGCTGCTCCTAAATCAGGCTGATGGTGAGAATTATTTATTCATTTGTGAAGGTCCAGAGAGAAGCTCAGGCAAATAAATACAAACTAAACTGCGTGAGAGCGTTACAAACTTGAGCCTGCTGTGGGCATGGAAGAAAAGGGTTTGTGAGAAGGAACAGGAGGGTTGGGACCAGTGCTTTGTGTGAGTGAGGAGCTGGGGGTGGAGGGATAAATCCTCCTTTCTGCTGGAGACACAGTGAAGATGATCAAAACCCCCCAAGCTTTCAGCTGCAGTGCAGCAGCTTCCCTGCAATTAAAAATTGAGCTCTGCAGCTCTGCCTGTGCCTGCTGCAGCCCATCACAGGGAGATGGTTCCCAGAGGACAGCTCCCACATCGGGGAATTCAGGGTTTGATCACACCCCAGTGTGTAAGTGGTGGCCCAGAAAAGCCCCTGGGCAGCAGCACACCCTGAGCAGGTGATGCCCCATCCCCCTGGGGCTCCTGCTGCTCGCTGCTGCCCTGGTTTTGGGCAGCACAGCTTCACCCAAGAGCTCCTCTGGGCTCTGCAGGTGCCACAGCTTCCCCTCCTGCCAGCACCTGGCCTCCTACCTGAGGAGCTCAAAATGTCCCTCAGACATCTTTGGATGTTCCAGGTCCAGGTCAGAAGCATTTGAGAACCTGGCACAGCTGGAAACAGCTGTGATTTGGGATTTGAACCATGGAAGGATTTACCAACCTTGCAGGAAGAACAAGAAGTCACAAAAGTTTAGATATTAGAGTAGAAGTAGTCACAAAGTAGAGGGAAGAATTTTTGAGTGCTGTACAGGGGGGTTTTGCTTTTGTACATGGGGGTCAGAGGTTTTAAGATGGATTTGGGATTTGGGCCTGCCCTGTCCTCCCTCTTTCTCCTTCCTTACCTCCATGTTCTTGGTGATGTTGGCACTCACAGATTGGTTTAGAGTAGAAAATCCCCATTTAATATAGGTAATAGGTATTGGGGAAAACTGTAACATGTTAACATGTAATGTACCATATAAAAGATAGAAAATCACCATTTAATATAGGTAATAGGTATTGGGAAAAACTGTAAACATGTAACACGTAATGTCCCATATAAAAGATAGAAAAGCACCATTTAATATAGGTAATAGGCATTGGGGGATAAACTGTAACCATGTCACACGTAATGTACCATATAAAAGAGAGCAGCAGCCCTGGGTGGGGAGAGAAGAAGCAGTCGGGGTCAGAGAGGATGTCAGGGTGTGTGTGTGCCTCTGCCTGAGCTGTGAGCAAACCACAGCAGCCCCAGAAGAAAATCTTTGAGATAACTTGCAATAAACTGCCTTGAGACCAACAACAGGGACTGCTGAGCTTTTTTTTGGAAGCACAGCTTGGAGGAGAGACTTTTCCACCACACGGAGCCACCCCCAATCCAGGGTGAGCTCTGGCACCTACCCAGAGAGGATTTATTCCTCCCTGAGCAGGTCTCCAGTGCTGGTGTTAATCAGGGAGATGGACGAGTACAAGCCCGTTTATTGTGCACTGTGGGTGAGTGATAAGTCTGTGCCGGTGCCTGGGAAAGCAATCAGGAGAAGGGAGCGAAAGGAAGAGGAGGGAAGAGCAGCACTGTGGGTAAATGTGTGCACTTCTGGTGGTGATTACCCTCCAAGTAATTAGTTTTTAAATCAGGCAGACGTTTCGGGAACTGCTCGCTATGAGCTGCTTTAATAATTTATACTCCCTTTTATTCTTATTATTTATAGTCCTCCTCTTCGGATGGAGATGCTCTTTGGAACCTGACCCATCTCCAGCCCTCCCTGGCCCAGCAGCCACCCCCTCCAGGGCTGCCAGGCACCCCAGAGCCCGGCTGTGCTGAGGGGACCCCTCTCCCTCCCAGAGCCAGGCAAGGCAAGGAGGGCACATCCTTGCTGTGGCAAGCTGCTCAGCCCGGTAATTAAACTCTCACTCATCTTCATTTCCCTCATTTGTTTAAGTGAGGCCACTCAATAAGCCATTAGTGCAAGGTCCTTTCTGCCAGCCAAGGCATCCTGAGGCACATTTCCCTTGGAGGGTGTGGGCAGGGGGAGCAGCTCCTTGCCTGCCCCCTCCTCCTCTGCCCAAACCCTCCCCATCCAGCCCCTCCCAGGTCACTCCTGGGACACTCTGGGGAATTTTGCAATGGCCAGCCCTTCCCCTAGCTGGGATTTTTCCCACAGCACCACACAAGCCCCTGTTCCATAGAGCATCTGGTGTTGCTCTCCCTTCACCATCCTCACCTGTCTGGAGTTTCCCGACATCTGGAAGCCATTCCCATGAAGGCACCTCCGACCCCTTGAGCTCCTCCTCTGGCCTAAACAAAAGCTGCCCTTGCTGCTGAGCTGGGGAATTTTGCCTGCTTTTCCCTCTCTCCATCCACAAACCATTTCTCAACGTGTCACCAGGACAGCATCCTCTGTCCCCCATCCCTCCATGGACACACTCAGATTCCAGCAGCTGCCTGGAGAGCCCCAGAGCATCCTCTGTCCCATCTCCCTCACATGTTCAGACACCAACAGTGAGGAAAACTGCAAAAAAAACCCCAGATCCCAGCACAAGAAAACCACAACATGGGGAAAAGCTGCTGTAGGCTCCTCCAGGAGCAAGGCCCATGGCCTGTTTGTACTTACTACGTTGATTTTCCCTGCTCCCTCCCTAGGAGCTTTTGTTCTGGGTCTTGCTCTGGTTACAGCAGTGAGAACAGCTCGACTTTGCTGCTTCTCACCTGGAATTCTTTATGAGCTGTGGGGGTGAGGGGGATTTGGGGTAGGGCAAGCACAGAACTGCTGTGCAGCTCAGAAAAGGAAAGGGTATTGATGGGGATGGGTCTGGCCCTGGGGCAAAGGGGGGCCCATCACTGCACCCCTCACTGAGATGAGACAATTCACTGCACCAAAACCCAGGTGCCAACAGAAAAGCAGAGTTAAAATGCACATAAACCTGTTCTGTGCTTTAGAGCCCCACAGGAACCCGACTGAGTGCTGCCCTGATGGGTTTGTTCTCATCCAGCCCCACAGCCACACAATCCCAGAGGGGCTGAGGCTGGAAAGGACCTCTGGAAGTCACTTGCTCCAGCCCCAGCTTAAGCAGGGTCACTTAGAGCTCCAGGTGGCTTCCGAGTTCAACTACTCGGGGGGAAAAATGCAATAAAGACATGAGACAGAGATTAAACCAGAGGGGACAGTGTCAGATCTGTGACACCAGGGAAAAACGTGGTTTTAGGATGGCCAATCTTCCAAGGGAAGCCGACTTCCAAGGCTAACCCTGCAGCCTTGAAGGGTTTAAAAGACCATCTGCCTGTGCACACATTGGTGTGAAACACAAGCTGCTGCCTGCCCTGGAACTAGGGGCAGCCCACTTCTCCATAAAAGCACCAGGCAGCAGACTGGGAACAGCTCCACCATGGCAGCAGAGGGACAGGATCCACCTGCCTCCCTCAGGATCAGCCCAAAGGTGCTCAGCAGAATCAGCTCCAGCAGTTTGGAGAGTACCTGGGGCAGGTATCCAAGGTGGGATGAGTCAAGGGGGTCAGGAACTGTCTTTCATCCTAAACAGGGCAGTTTTGGGGCTGGACTCTCCCATCACACCCAGCCCTACAAAGTCCATGCAGCAACGATTCCACCAAGGCTGGGAACAGACATCTCCAAACAAGCCTCCTTCTATTTGCATTCGAAACATTTATTTTGGGAAATACATATTAAACACTATTATTTATACAAAAATGGACTAAATTTTCATAATGCTTATAACCCCCAAAAGGCCATTTTAATAGATCTGGATGAAGGGTTTTTTTATTGTATTATTTTCTCTTTTTTTTTCCTTCCAGGTTACAAAGGAGAAAGCGGCGTGTCTTGCTTGGCCCAGCTTGAGATACCAACTAGAGGAAAAAAAAAGTTTAAGATGGCATTTGCAGAAGTGCCTCACATGAGAGGTTTTTCTCCCCTTTCAGTCTTTTTTTTAACACTTGAAATATAGTTTCTTTTTCAGTTAATACATTTTTCATTGTTGCTTTTGCTAAAATATAGCAAGTCAGCAAGTAGAGAGCTGCTGTTCCCCAACAGCTCCGTGGGGCTGTTGTGGAGGGGGGATATGAGTGAAGGGGAGAAGGGATTCTCACAATGCACCCCCTGCCCACACCCCTTTGGCTGCTGGGGGGGATGTGTGGGGAGCCCCTGAAAACCTGGGCATCCCCAGCAAGGGGAGAGAACCTCCTGCCTCCTCCTGGTCACCTGTGCTGAGCCAGCCTCTGTCCCCCGTGGGCTCTGCAGGTGCCTTCCAGTGCTAGAGGATGGGACACGCTGCCACTTCAGTGTGTGCCCCCAAAAATGGGTGATTTGCAGAAGTCTTTTTCCCTTGGAGAGGACTGAGAGACACCAGAAAGGCAAGAGGAGCTGGGGAGAGGGGCAGGACTGCAGAGCTTTGCTCCAGGACCCCCTGCTCCTGTCACAGTGCTACCTAATGCTTGCAGGGTCTGGTTTATTGGAGACACACAGAAAGAGAAGGGTCTGGGGGCAGAGCAGGGGGAGCACCCACAAACACCCCCCAGCCCCCAAGGCTGCAGGGCTCGGTCAGCACATGCACAGACCCCCTGCACAAGGACCAGCAAAACAGGAGCATCTTCCCTGGACACACAGGGGGACCCAGGAAACGAAAAGGAATTTACAGATACCCAAGAGCCTCCTCTGTTGTGGGGAAAAGCCCAAGAATCACAAGGGTCAAACAGGACAACCCTCTGCCTCCCACCACTGCTTTGCAGAGACAAAGTTCCACGCTCAGCCCCCTCAGGACAAACACACTCAGAGCCTTCAGAGGACAAAGACCCACCCAGCTAAGTGACAAATAAATACACAAGTGTTCCCAGGACATCAGCCATGGCTCTGGCCCAAGGGAGAGGGAAGGAGAGTCTCTGTGGAGGCTGCAAAGACAGGCGAGGCAGACCCTCCCTCCCCTCTCCCACACTATTGCAAGGTCTCAGTCTGAAAAGGCACTTCTCCCAAAGCAGGTCGCTCTGCCTGGCCGGGGGTCGGTGACAGGCGAGGTGACACCTAAACACTCCCAGTTTATTGCATGTAGACAGGGTACAGGGGCTGGGTTGGGGGCTGGAGGGCCCCAGAGGGCTGCAGAGGGCTTGAAGGGGCAGCAGGACACAAGGATGGCACTGGCTGCTCTCTTCATCCCACCGTACCTTGCTTCCGAAGGCTGCCTTCACCTGGAGGAGCCCTCGCCTTCAATGGACGGAGAGGAGCCTCTGCACGGAGGGGCTGCAAGGGCTCCCAGGGCACCCCAACCCTGCTGCCCCCACAGATCTGCTCCCCTGGGCTCGGCTGGGGGGCCACAGCTGGGGCCAAGCCAGAGCCCGACCTCCACAGAGGGCCGGTCCCCGGGCCAGGGACGCCGCTCTGGGGGCTGAGCACAAAACTCACGGAACGCAGCGGGGGGAGAGCGGCCACCCGCTGCACGTCTGGTTATTTGGTCAGTTTACATGGCAGGGGGTCAGGGAGCAGGGCAAGAGGGACAGTGGCAGAGGATTTATATAAAAATAAAGGGGGAAGAGGGGAGAAAGAGCGAGCGTGAGCGAGCGAGGTCCTGGCTGCGGCGAGGGACGGTTACATTTCGTTGGCCACCAGCTCCTTGTCAGCCACGCCGTTGGACAGAGAGCTCTGGCCCTCGTTCAGCCTCTTCACCCTGTAGGCTTCAAAGTGGATGTTGCTGGTAATATCCTTGATGTTCTGCATGTGTGTCCTGCAGGGAAGGGAGATGGAGAGATCACACCAGCCCAGCCTCTGCGCCCCAGCCCTCGTCACCCCAAACACCGCCCAGTCCCAATGTCCCCTCCTGCCTTGCTGGTTCATGGGGCCTGTAGGGCACAGGAGGGAAGTAAAGGCAATGATGGCAGCATTATTGGGCAGCAGGAGCTGAAGCCTTCACTTGTGCCTGGGCACAGAGGACCTGTGGCTGCAGAACACCTACCCAGGGAGTTCCCCACCCTGCCAGTCCTGAGGTGAGGTTTTGTAGCCCCACACAGCTCTGCCAGCAACAGATCATGTGTCCAGAGTTTACTTTGCAGCCAGATTGAGGAGAATCCCATGCCTCCTCTCTAACAAGCCCAGGGGGCTCAGCCTCCCTCTCCCCCACAGAAGGGACACTTCTTTCAAGAGGTACCCAGACCCCACAACAAAACCCCAGTGAAGGGTGATGTCTTTGAACTGAGGGTGGGATCTGGCACTGGTGAGGGAGCACTAAGGCCAAAAGCTGCTTGCAGGTGAGCTGGAGCCACACACTGCCAGCAATCCTGGAGTGTGTCCTGACCCCTCCACTGCTCCTCTCCCCCCTGAACTCAGTCCCCAGGGAGTGGGGCCACCCCTTGCAGAGGGGCTGCAGAGTGGCAGCGGGCTGGGAGGGAAGGCAGGGATGGAGGGATGAGCAGCAGAGCAAAGCAGCAGCTGCTTCCAGCTGAGCTGGGCTGTCCCCTTTCCCTGGATGCCAGCTAGTGACCAAAGGCTCTGGCGACAGGGCACTGACCTGATGAGGAGGTCCCGCAGGTAGGCGAACTCACAGTGTGTTGTGTTCTCCACTGGCAAGAGACAGAAAGCCATCAGTGAGCCCCCATAGCCAAGCAGCACCTGGGGGCTTCCCCAGCTTGTGGGGGGCCTCAGATGGGCTCAGGGTACAAGTGCAGGACTCAGGAGTCCTCTTTGCTGCTGCTGTAAAGCTATCAGCAGGTCCCTGCCCCAGCTCAGCCCTGGTGAGGTCAGACTGAGCATCCACAGCCCCTTCCCAGTGTCCCACCAAGGAGGGAGCTCCCAGCAGCCCCCCAGCACAACCCCCAGAACCCCAGACAAGACAGGGGAAGGGCTGTGGTGAGCTGTGCAGTGAGCACCAGGCGTGTCTCCACTGAAGTTTCATCTGTAGCTCAGCCACGAGCATCCTGCAGTATCCCAGGCACGCTGCTGAGGGCTGCCAGGGCTGAGCAAGGACATGAACTCCTGCTGGCAAAGGTCTCTGCTGCCAGAAGGAGCAATAGGGAAAAATCAAGGGGTGCTGCTCCACCACAATCAGTCTGACAGCTGCTATTTTACCCCTAATTTTACTCAATTTAGAGGAAGAACTCCTCTTTAATTTTTTTTTTTTTTACCTAAACAATCCTGTACATAGAATAGTATAATCCTTCTTGTTGGAGAAGACCTCTAAGATCACTGAGTTCCTCCACTAAACATCATGCAGGAGTGGCAAAACACAAACACTGCTGTGCAAAGGCTGCCTGTGGCCATGGCTGTGTCCTGGGGGCCTCCCTGTGCTGAAGGCAGATGCTTTCACAAGTAGAAAGTGAGGGTTTAATGAATGCCACTGAACTCAGAATGTTCAGGGACACAGCACGAGAGGGCAGCAGAGCTCCAAAATACACTGATTTTCCTGCCAGCTTTGTTAAACCATCCCTCAACACAGGATTCCTATTAAAAAGACTCGTAAATGAGAGGAACCTGTGAAGTGAAGGGGAGGAAGATGAGAGGGGTGGCACTGGAGATGAGCCAGCTGGCTGCAAGAAACCATCAACAGGGAAATGTGTAGATGTGCTGGAGCCAGGAGCTTTCATCTAGCCTTTAAACCATGATTGTAAAATGGGGGAGAAAAAAGGGAGATGCCGCTGGGAAAAAGAAAGAGGGAAGAGATCCCACACAGCCACCAACCAAAGGCATGTTGGGGGTACAGATCCCAGGGGAAGGTTCCAACAGGGGATTGAGACGTGGGGATGTCACTGGTGTGCCCTCAAATCCTGCCATCAGGCAATTAAATGTACAAGAAGAACAAGCCAGGCCATGAGACCCCCAGAAATGTCCCCTCCAGCACTCAGCAGCCCCCCAAACAAAGGCCCAGGAACCCAGCACAGGAGCATTGGCCAAGGTGTTTCCTGTCCTCAAACATCAGGAAAATTATCTTTTTCTTGGAGGGGCAGAGAAGCACCACATCCAGCTCAACTTCTACTGCTGGTTTTGGACTTTATTGCCTTCTGCCAGGGCAGGGAGGTGGGCTCAGGAGGGGAGGCAAGGATGAGGTACCTTCAATGGTGCCCCACTTGGTCTTCCTCCCAAGGATTCTTCTTCCATTCACCTGGTACTCCTGGTCACTGCCCACCACTGCAAATGGGATCATTTCCTGTGGAAAGGGAAAAACAAGGCTGTGATTTCTTCTGAGAACTGATCAGGAAACCAAACCAGTGACCAAAGTCTGATATCCTCCTGTTTCCAGAGGGGTTTCATGGGATGAGCTGGTTTGCCCCTGATGTTCCTGAGCAGTGCTGCCTGCCAGGGCCCATAGGCAGCCCAGGACTGGGTACCAGCATCTCCTGCACATGTGCCCAGCCTAAAACCAGCCCAAACCCAGCCTGGTCAAGTCCCTCATTGGCAGGCACCAGGTACAGCTGGAGCAAAGGGATCCCAAAATTTCCCTGGGAATTTCCCCCAGCATCTGGCAACCTGTGGCCAACTCATTTCCTGATCCAAGTTAGTGTCTTTGAACTTCAGAGTCCCTAAAAGATGCTTTTCTTCCTCAAATTTGTCCAATCCACTGTACTGTGCCAAAAAATTGCTGGCTGATTCCTGCAGCATGGAATTGCCAGCTGCAGGCAGCCTACAGGTGAAATTCCACCCCAGTGCTGGGAAGGCTGCTGCCCTAGCCAGGGATGGGCAGGCACCTCTATTTCCTGAGCCTGGGGCAGGGGAAGAGGCCATGGACCCCTCTGCTGAGGGCACCTGGCAGGGTGGAGATGGGAAAAGAGTATGGAAAGGCTTCCCCAGCAGCCTTTCTGACCCTCTTTCCACCCCTGCCCTGAGCTCTGGCAGGATCCCTGCTGCTGGGCAAACCCCATGGACAGGACACAGCAGCTTTGGGAAGAAAACAGAGGCCTTTTGGAAGGAAACCCCCAGGACATGCCCAGCCCCTGGAGCTGCAGGGTCTGCCCAGCCACAGCCCCTGCACTGACCCGGAATTTCTCGTTCACCAGCCGATCTTCAGAGTCCTCATCAAACTCCTTCTGGGGGTACACGTCGATCCCGTTGGCCAGGAGATCAGCCATTATCTAGGAGGGAAGAGCACAGGGACAGGTGAAGGACAGGCAGGCACAGGAGATGCACTCCCACCATGGCAGCTGCTACCAGAGGGTCTCTGAGTGATGCCCACCAGTCACAGCAGCAGCATCCTCCCCCTCCATCCTAAATTCGGCCCACCCTGGGGGACAGAGACCTGTGCCACACACCCACCAAGAACTTGCCCTGGAACCTCTGCAAGGTCCTGGTGCCAAGGCACAGCTCAGGCAGAGAGTGAGATGAAGCTCCATGAGCTGGATGTTGTTTGGGGATTGGAAAAGACAAACAAGACAACCCAAGCTGCCCAAGCGAAGGGGAACACAGCTGCCAGGCTTGTAACACAAAAGTGAAAAGGCTTTGTAACAAAGGTGAAAAGGCTTTGTAACAAAGGTGAAAGGGCTTTGTAACAAAGGTGAAAGGGCTTTGTAACAAAGGTGAAAAGCTGCTGCTCTCTGGGGTTTGTTTACACTCCTTGGAAAAGAAGTGTGATCTGGGGGGACAAGGACACAGCTTGGAAGGGCAGACTCTAAGGACTTTGCCTCTGTGCAAGGCCAAGAGATGCTGAAATCTGATTCCTGGGGGGAGACTCAGCTCACAGGGAGTTTTGAAGGATCAACCTTCTCCTACGATGCTGCAAACCCAAACCCAGGCTGGCAGCAGCTCCCACCACTTCCTGTGGCAACAACTCCACACCAGTCCTACAGTGCAGGCTGGCAAAGCAGTGGATCCAGCCCAGGGGGTGCCCCCAGCTGGGCCTCCCACCCCCCACCAAACCCCACACTGGGTTTAGGGGAACAACCCAACAAAGCCAACTCCAGGGAGCACATTCTACTCCCTCAGCACAGCACTGGCACCAACCTGCAGCCAGGCTGGTGCTTCACATCCCCTGCCCACCCCATCCAAACCTGAAACCTATCATCTTTCTGAACCAGCTACACCCCAGATGCAGACAGGACTCTGCTTTTGGAAGCACACATGCAGGCACACTGGAATGAATGAGTGGAAAAGATCCCAGCCTGTGCCCAGCTGGTCTGATTTCCTGCCCTCTCATCTCCTGGGAGCAAACACACCATGTGGCTACGTGTTCTCCCTCCATCTGAAAGGATTTGGGAGGTCTGGTTATAATCAGGAAGCAATCAGAGATAGGATGAGCTCGTCCTGTGCTGAGGCAGTGCAGAGCAGGAGAGCCAGGCACTGTCCCCATGGTCTTCCATGGTATCAGCAGCCAAGGGTGCCCAGGTGACATCTGAGGTCCCAGACTGACTGTAGCACCAGAGCCAGCCACTCACCTACAGACACAGGGATGGGAGCACTGGTAACCTCTGAGTGGAGCCAGCAGCCTGCAGAAGCCACCACAGAGAGATGTGGCACCAAGGGCTCACCCCTCCGTGTCCCCTCACCAGCTCCTTGCAGAGCTCTGTGCAAACAGCCTGACAAGCCAAGGGAGCCCAGCCTGGGTCACCCCTCAGCTCCATTCCCAGCCAGCCTCCAGCCAAGGAAATTGCTTGGAGAGTTTGGATCAGCCCCCAAAACCAGGCTGGGTATTTCAGGGGCATGGGACTACCCCTGGCTAAGGTGTCCATAACCAAAGGAGTGGCCCCTAAAACTACCCTTTTGGCAAGACTCTCTTTCCATTTACTTCTCCCAGGTCAGACTCATGGATCAAGGAGCTTGGTGGTTTTTACTTCTGCAGGGAATGCTGAGGCCAACACGCCTGCAGCCACATCCACCACCCACACAAACGGATTTACAGGGCCTTACCAAACCCCCAAACGGGCCACCTCCACCTCTCAGAGCACAGCCCATGCCTTGCTGTGCATTCACAGACCCTCCTCAGCTCCCAACCACGGGAATTTCATACCTTGCTTCCCTCTTAAACCTCGCCCAGCTGAGCTCAGCAAACCCACACGTTTTTGACTGGTTCCTGTATCAGTGCACGATGCTGCAGAGAGAGGCTTCTCTAGCCCCTACATGCATCAACCTCCCAAAATAACAGAAACCAGCCTGAAAATAACAACAACAACAACAAAAGGAGGCAGGAGAAGCAGGCCTGGAGCTCCCAAACTTATCCTGCACTGACAAAGATCCAAGAGAAACACAAGAAGTGCCTGGAGAGCAGGCCTACCCTGCGGCCACGCGGGATCGCTCCGAGCTGCAGCCGGAGGAATGCGCTGGGCTCCCGGCCAGGCCCTGCCTGCACAGCCCTGCCAGGAGAGCCACGAGGGGGGCAGAGGCAGCAGGGGATGGGCTAGCACAGCTGGGAGCCCGGGGAAGGGGCAGCAGCCCCTTACCCGTTGTTTGAAGTAGTCCCTCTCCTCCAGCGTTAGCGTGTCGGCTTTGGCGATCACCGGGACGATGTTGACCACTTTGCTCAGGCGCTTCATGAACTCGATGTCCAACGGCCTGAGCCTGGAAAACAGCAGGAAAAACGAGATTTGAAAACGGCAGGAAAAAGGGGATTTGCAAACAGCAGGGAAACGGGGATTTGCATTCCTGGAAAACAGCAAGAAGAAGGGGATTTGAAAACAGCAGGAAAAAGGGGATTTGCACTCCCAGGCTGCTGCAATCCCCTGGCAGGGAGGGACATTGGAAGAGCAGACAGAGAGGGAATCTCTTCCTTTCAGATAGGACAAGTAAAGACAATTTCTTAAAAGCACAACAGCAAAGAGAGGGTTTGACAACACTTTAAACATTTCCCTTTCAAAGCTGCCGCTATCGCCTGCGAACCCTCCCAAAGCCTTGTGAAGTGGCAGAGGGCTTTTATCTCTGCAGGGCCACCGGGGGCTGCAGGACCTTGCCCAGAGCTACTGGTGTCCTTGGTGGAGCTGGGGTGAGAGCAGGGCGATGCTGGCTGCAGGGCCAGCCTGCTGCCATGTACAAATCAAAACCTGTCCCAGCTCTAGCCAAGCTGTCACCAACCATCCAGGGACAGCACAACCTGGAAATGGCCACATATGACTGTCCCTGCTCACACTCCCCCCTGTGTTGAGCAGTAGTTGCTTGGGACAACTTACTGAGAGTATTTCTGCATACCCCATTTAATATCTGCTTCATCATTTATTTGCTCCCAGAGTATTTGGAAGCAACTGTTACACTGGTGATACAAAAGCAATAAAATGTAAATTAATATTTATGTTGTTCAAAGTGATATAGATACTTTATCCAGAAAACTCAATGCTGAAGTTTTATCATATACCTGCACAAAATTTTGATTTAGGAAACTTTTAAGTTCTCCATCAATGTCACACAACAATCATAATTCATATTGGTCTCTACATTTCTTTCAAAGGGTCATACAAAAAGGTTGTATGAAAGGGTTTACTTAAAGTAAACCCTAAAGTCTGTGGTTATGCACAAGCTGGGAGTGCCTCTCACATTCATCAGCTGGGATTAAAAAAAAGCTCTGGACATTCTCCAGGGGCTCACAGAGCACAAAAGAGATGCTGCTTGTTCCAGAGGGCGAGAATGTCAGAAAATCTCTACAACAAAAGTCCCAGCAGAGGAAAGCTGCAGGGATTGCATAACCCCAGTGATCAGCACCTCGGGAAATCCCTCCCTGCTGACAGCACTGACACAGCTCCACTTCCACACTGCTCCACATCCAAGGCCTGCACACAGCGATGAAGGCACCTGGCCATCATCCCCCTCCCTGCTCCTCAGTCCTCCCTGAAGATGTTTCAACTGCTGGGGGTCCCAAACCAGGAGAAAACCCTCCTTGGGGCACCTCCAGGTGCTGCAGCTTCCACTCGGTGGCTCTGAAAGTGAGGAGGAGGGACATGCAGCACAGCTGAGTAGGTGTTGCCTTGAAAAGGAAACCTGGAGGCCCCAGGGTCAAGGATCACCTTTGGGCAGGAGGTGATGGAAATGAGCCCTCACTGAAGGGCCAGGAGAGCACCCACTGCCAGCACACTCAAGCCAAACCCCACCATGGTCTCCTCAGCCCCTACAAAGGGCTCAGAGACCCCTGCAGACCCAGGCACAGGAGTGCAGAGGGGAAGGGACTGATCTTGCCCCTCAGCAGCCACCAGGCAGTGTCCCCATCCCACAGGGACATTTCTACCTGGCTCCAGTGCTGAGGGAGGGACATTCAGCTCCACAGAGACCCACTCAGCTCCAGCTGACCCGAAAACAGCAGCTCAAGGCTGCCCCAGAGCAGGCAGCACTGGTGACCCAGCTGAACCCTCCCCTGGTCATCCCCTCTCCCAGGGATGGAGCTGGACTGTGCCAGGTGGATCCTGTCCCCACACACCAACAACACACACAGCCCCGAGCACATCATTAGCACAGGGACAAACGAGGTCCTAACACAAACACAGGGTCACAGATCACCCTGGGCCCCAGGAAAGAGAGATTTTGGCTATTAAAGGGGAAAAAGAATAGAAAAAACCACAAGGAACCCCCCCATGGAAACATCTAAGCTGACTTGCTGCTGGCAAACATTGTTTGGAGCTCTGCATAATGTATTTCCCAGACCTCCAAGGAAGTAATGCAGTAATGCTCCTTTCCCAGCAGAATTCTTTTCCCTCCTCTCTCTTTGCTATTTTCCAAACAATTTTTCTCCTCTAAAAGCTTCTTCCCCACTGAGCCTGTGTTCCTGCCTCTTTCATCAGCTTTTCCTTTAAAGACCAGGATGCATAGGGAGCCAATGCAGATGAATCCACAATCAGGCAGACATTTGCTCAATCTACATGTTAAAAGCTCAGTTCCATCCCTCAGATCCCTCACTCATCCCGAGGATGCCACAGTGAGCCAGAAGAGGAGGCAGAACCAGGGCCTGCCCACAGCCCTGCTGTGTCCAGCAGCATCCCCCAGGCACAGTGACCGTGTCCCATCTGCCCCCAGGCACCTCTGACACAACTTGCTGCTCCCATAGGCTCCTGCACGTGCCTCATCCACGGAGGTCACCTCCTGCACCACCCTGAGACTCCCCAGCAGAGCAAACTGTATGTTTTTAGGGTTTTCTGCAAGTTTCTAGATAAACTATCAACTCCTGCTAGGTAGGTAGCTTCCCCAAAACCTTAATTATGTAAAAGGAAATGAACCTTTTCACTAAGAACAATGCCTGCCTGTAGCTACACATCACATTCATGTGAAGATGCCTTGGATTAAGGTGGTGACAAGTGCTATTTGCTCCAAGTGCATCACAGAAGAGAAAGGAAGGCTCAAGAAAATAACTAACCTATTTTCCTCCCCTTCTCCAAGTGGTCCCTGATATTGTGAACTTATAAATGTATTGGGTTCTGCTGGGAGGGGTGGAGGTGCTCAAAGGGGAGTGGATGGGCTGGAGCAGGAGGTGCAGCATGGGCTCAAACCACTCCAGGTGGTGCTGGTTGTTCCCTCATCCCCTCCTGCAGTGGCCTTGGGGGAGGCTGTGCAGACCTTGCCAGGGCTGGGCACACATTGTGGTGCCCAGGACACACATTATTTCTGCCACTGTGCACAGACAGGATCTAAGCACAGGCTCGTTCCTGCTGGTTCCCCTGAAGTGCTGTTACAGGAATGAAAATCCACAGTGAGCTGTGAAGTTATTTCCTTTTGGTTGTGCCCCAGACCAAACTAACAGCAGGAATTTGAGCTGTGTGTTAAGCAAACACCAGTGAGGACCCAACTGCTGCCCAGCCCCATCACCTGCTCCAGGGAGCTGCTGGGCACCTGAGAGGGGCAGCCAGAGGGCAAAGAGAGAGTAGGTGGCAGTTCCTGAGCCAGCAGCTCAGGCAGAGGCAGGAGAGGTGCTGATGAGGCCAGGGAGAGTTCCAGAGCCATTCTTGAGCTGAACAGGGCTTTGCAGGGGTCAGAGCAGGGATATTTATTGGGTGGCAGAGCCCAGCCTGTGCAGCTGCAGCTGGAAGCCCCTGCCAGCACCATCCTCAGCCTTCACAGGCACGGTTACATGGGAGTGTTACAGGCTGTGTGTGAACTGGATGGGCTGCAAAGCCTGTCCTGAACTCCCTTGTGAACTCCCTCATGCAGCAGAAATTTCTCTGCTAATTAACCCTGGAGCTGCCTGGATGGGAGGGCCAGACTGAAACTGAGCCAAGCAATCCTATACTCTGGCCTCCAGATCTCTGCCCCAACTTTGCTGTTTTTTATCCCTCACTCCTTTTTATCTAGGCAAAAGCAAGCTCTCACTGCAGGCTTAACCCAGCTGCCTGCAGCACTTACAGGGAGCCCTGTGTCATGCCCATCTACATCAGCAGCATCTCCCCAGGCAACACAAACACCCTGTGCAGGTACATCCCAGGAGGGCAGCACCAAGCACCTGGGATGGTGAGTGGATGGTGCCATGGGGGCATGCTGGGCTTCTCTGGAGCTGGGTGACAACGTGCCCAGTGCAGGTCTCTACAGCTCTACCAGCCACTGCCATCCTCCCAGTCACCCCTGGAGAACACAGAGGCACCACAGCAAGGACCTCAATGCCCTTCTCATACCCTGCTGCCTCGGCCAGGGCACAAACCTGCACCCAGCTGTGTGTGACAACCCCAGGACAAGGCTCCCCCACAGCATTGTCGCAGCAGCTCCTGCAGGGGAGCTGCCCAAGTCACCCTTTGATGAGATGAAAAACATCATTTGGACTTCACAAGAGAGCAGAAAGGAACTCCAAAGCCTGCTTGAGCTCTCAGAGAAGCAGAATTTCCCATCAACCTCCCCCTCCTAGTGGGGTTTGCCCCTCAGGTGGCAGGAGGGGATGGGTGAGCCGGTGACAGGGGGGGACAGCCCCAGCCAGGCTCTCAGCCTGCAGGGAAAGAGGATCAGCACAGGGCTCAGCAACAACAGCCCCCAACTGCCGGGCTCGCTCGGATATTGGAAACACATGTTCACTGGAGAGAAGGAAAAAAGGCAGCTGAAAATCCACACAATTGCTGTTGGCCGGCGGGTGAGGGAAACCAGAGCGCGGCTGGAGAGGCTCCGCCGGGGGACACGGAACGGGGCTCCACATCCCCTCCTGCACTGCCAGGCACCCAGCACGCCCAGCCCTCTGAGCATCTGATGGGTTCTGCAAGAGTTAAACAGCCACAGGGCTGAGGAAAAGCTGGAGCACAGCTAAAGCTGCAAGTCAGACCTGCCGAGGCAGGGGCTGCAGATCTGGGCTGAGATTAGTGGGAGCAACACGTTAGATTGGCCTAAAAATGTCATTTCCCTTTGAAACCTTCTCTGTTTTATTGTGTTCAACCATAAATGTTTCATCAGCCCCTCTGCTCCTGATCAGTTACACAAGAGGGGCATTACTGGCCCATGCAGTCATTTTATTCCAGTGAAGGATGCATTTTTGGTCTACCCACTGACAGAAGCAAAACAAAATCTTTTCTATTGGAATAAATCTCCACATGGGGAAGTGGAAAAGGCTGACATTAATACAGTGCTGGAGGCTTAAGTTTACTTTTGAAAACAGACCCAAAAACATCCCCAATGCAGACAGAGCCAGAAGTGGAAGGAATTGACACAAATCAAAAGGAAACTTAGGTCTCGTTTTCTGTTGTGATACTTTAAGTCACATTTTTCAAGACATTTTAAGTGTCCCAGATTTCCAGGGTGGGCTGTGTGCCTAGGAGGGAAAAAAATAAAACAGAAAAGGAAAAAAAAATAAGAGTGAGATCTGGGTCTTTTGATGTTGTCACTTGAAAAGTGCCAGAGCCAGGAGAACTCTGGGCTGAATAAACAGCATCCCACTTGCAAACTAGTCAAACAACCTACAAAATACCCTTACAGGGTGAGGGTGCTTGCTGCCTTGGAAGCACAAGGAAAACTGGCTTCTCCCCTTACAATGTCAGGGACAAAGAAAAAAAAATATTAATGTTCTGCTTGCTAAAGTAGCCTCTCCACCCAATTTGAGACATGTGTCCATCCTTGGTCAAGCAAGCCAGGTGACACAGCAAATGCAGCAGCTCCCAAGAGCTCAGAGAGGATTTCAAGGCCCCTCAGAAGAGGAAATACCACATTTCTCTGGGGTACAGCAGCTCTGCTGGGTTATTGCAAAGCCTCCAGATGATACAGCCCTGAGGATGGCTTCAAGCTGTCCTGGAGCTCCTCAAGCCCCAAAAAACATGGGAGAATCCTGGGCAGAAGTACCCTGAGGGCTGAGCTGCTGGGCCATGCAAGGGAAGGCCAAGGGGAGCAGGGACAGCGGGGTACGTACGAGTGGCCCGTGGCTGGGATGAAATAAATACAGCAGTGCACCCGTGTGTCAGGGATCTGCTTCTTCCTGTTGATGTTGATCTCCTCCTGCAAGTACTTCTCATACTGGTCGTTGATGAACTTCATGATGGGCTGCCAGCTGCAGAGAGAGGGCAACACAGGATGGTGTGAGGGACCTGGATCACCCTGACCTTCTGCATGAAGCAGAACTGCAGAGTCCGGGGTGCTCAGCATCTCCTAAATCACAAACCCCAGGTGTTCACTGCTTAGCAGCTCCATGCACTGCTGCAGGAGGGGATTTACTGGCTGCTTTAGACAAGCAAGTGCCTAAAAAGTGCTCCCTTCTCTCCTTGTGGACCCAGCTGCAGAGCAGCAGTGCTGGGACCATGCCCTGGCTCCTTGTAGGATGCCACAGCACAGGAGCATGAGCAAATCAAAGCCCACAAGCCCAGGCCAGCTGGTGGTGGGGACAAGGTCCTTGCCATGGGCCAGCCCTGCCAGCCTGGGGGCCATCCTGCAGAGCCAGACACTGTGCCAGGGATCCTGGGCAAGAGTTCAGCCTCCAGAGCCACATGAGCAGGGTCTGGGGACTGGCCCTGCTGGCACACAGCTGCTCCCAGCCACAAACAAAGGTTGTCTCATGGCTGGAACAGCAGGATGTTTGTGGCTCTCACGGGGAGCATGGCACTGCTCTGCCACCACAACAAACTCCTTCCTCCTGCCCACAGAGCAGTGCCAGGCTCCAGCCCTGGGCACGGGGTCAGGGTGTGCTGGGGCTCTCCTGCCCTCCCCCTGCAGCCAGGGCAGAGGGGCAGCTCACCAGTTCTCGTTGTTGATGTGGTCCCCAAAGCCCGGCGTGTCGATGACTGTCAGCTTCATGCGAACCCCCTTCTCCTCAATCTCTGGAAAAGAGGAAAGCTGCTGCGTGATGGGTGCTCTGGCCAAGCCCACCCTTCCAAAATCAGCTGCAGTGATGGAGCTTGCACCCAGGGGAGAAATGCACCTTCACAGCTCCTCAGAGACACCAATCAGCCCTCCAAAGGGATCCAGCCCTTATCCACCCTGAAATGCCACCCCCACAGCCACCTCATTGGTCCCTTCCAACACAATTACTCAATGCTGATGAATAAATAAAAAACAGATGTTTTCTCAGCCCTGCAAGCATCTCTGGATGGTAAAAACCCATTCAGAGAGATAAGAGTGGAGGTTTATGGAGGTCCAAAACTCTGTGAGTCCCCAGAGACACAAGGCAGAGCAGGACCTAAAGCCAAAGCAGCAGGTGGGACCTGCAGAGCCTCACCGTGAGTGATGGATTTGATTTCAATGGTCTTGGGGATCCTCTCCTCAGCAGCTGGCTGTACAGATTTCCGGCTGATCTTGGATTTGAAGAGGGTGTTGATTAACGTGGATTTCCCCAAGCCACTCTGACCTGGAAGAGAGCAGGATAACCCAGAGTCAGCACTCCCTGCTCTGTCAGGGGCCAGGAGATGGGGCTGCTGACAGACTCAGCCTGCACCAGATCTGCCAGAGGGATGGAGGGAGGGATGAGGAGCAGCTGCCCCCCTGCAGCTCCCCCCAAGCCAAGGAGCTCCAGTCCAGCCCAGCCAGGAGGATGCTGCAGGTAGCAAAGCCCCTCCCTGGCTCCAAAGCAGCAAATTAAGAGATGGTTCCCTGCATCCAGGAAAAACCCCAGCAACCCCAAGGACTGGCAGACAGTGCTGAGGATGTTTGAAGGGCTGTGGTGATGCTCAGCAGGGCAATGGGATCAGGAAACCCCAGGAAAAAGCATCCCAAGTATGCCTTCATTCTCCTGCAGTCTGCTCTGTCCAGTTCCACAGGGAAGGCTTTGGAGCAGCTTGGCAAGCCTTTATCTGGACAGGACTAACAGCAGCAACAATCCTCCAAACCTCAGGCCTGCTGCATCTGCTGCTGCTTCCCTGACAAACTTGCTGCTGCAATCAGCCCAGCTGGCTGCACAGACACAGGTCCATGCCAGGAGCTTCTCTGAATCCCACAAACAACAGCCCAAGAAGCACATGAGATTCCACAACTTTAGAAAAACAACTTTTAGAAAAGCATTTTCATGCTTCATATCCCAGAGCTGATGCTGATCTGTGTGGAAAGGACACCAGCAGCTCCTGACTCTCCAGGAACAGCTGTCCCATGAGCTTGGAGAACAATTTTTCCAGAGTACAGAAAACAGAATTAACTCCTCAAAACCCAGGGAGCAGAAAAATATTAACTCCTGAAAGGTCAGAGCCCCCTGCAAACACTGCAGAGATCCTGCACACACCATGGGGACCCAATGGCCCCGTTCTGCCACGACACATTACAGCCAACTATCATGGCATTGCCACCAGCATGCCCTTCTCCCACAGTGTGTCCCTAAGCAGAGTCAGCAAGGGCTTCACCCACATCCTTCAGGGTCCTCCAGGCTGCCAAAGCCAATGGTAGGACCAACCAGCATCATCTCCTGGCATCACGCCACTCCCTGATCAAACAGCAATTTTAGAACCAAGCTTGCAACATCACCAATGGCTGCAATCCAGCACAGGAAAACTCTCTTTGACTGTCACTGTGGGGCTGTAAGAAACACAAGGACCAGGCTGGGGGAAATGCTCCCAGTCCTCTGCTGCCTAAACACACAGGGCCAAGCACTAACAGGCCTGGAGCTGGGCATGCAGAGCCAAAACAGAGCTCTCAGTACACCACTGCTCACTGTTAAATGGAGCACCTGGGGAGAGGGGAAGGCTGTGTGGCACACTGGGGACAGGTGAAATCAGGGTGACACACTGCCAGAGCTCCAGGCAGTGGGTCTCTTTGTGTCTGTCAAGGGAGCTCTTGTGAGCCCTGACATCCCTCAAGGTGCTTTCCTGTTGGATGTGCCTATGGATAAAGCACCCCAAGATGGAGAAGGATGAGGACACATCATACAGACATCTTTAACTCCAGCTGACCCCAGGTCAGCTCCTCAGGAGCAGGGTTTGCTGACTGCCAAGGCACAGCTCTCAGCGCTGCTCCCGAGGCGGCTCCAAAGGGGACAAACATTGTGGTGGCACAATGACAACACCCGGCTGAGCACGCTGCGGGCAGCAGGCACAACTCACCCACAACCATGATGTTGAACTCGAAGCCCTGTTTCATGGCTTTCCTCCTCAGCTGCTCCAGGATGGCATCGATGCCCACGTAGCCGAAATCCGCAGCCGGCTTGTCCGGCCGCGCCGGCGCCGCCGGCTTGGGGCCGGCATCCCGCGGAACGTCCGTCATGGCAGGAGCGTGGCTGGGAACGGCCTCTGCACCTGGGGGGAGACACAGAACACAGCTGCTCAGAGGGGCTGCTCCTGACGCCTCAGCTTTTGGCTTTTATGTTTTTCAGATTCTCTTTTAGCTTTTTTTTTTTTTCTGCTTTAGCTTGTGGGTCTGGGCTTCGTATTAGGGGATGGCGAGCTCTCTGTACAAAGTAGGGAGACAAAACAATTCCTTCTTGGTCTCCTTCTAGCTGGGCACCAAGGACAAATCATCCAAATCTCAGGCCCAAGAGCACAAACAACGTTGTCTGAAGAGAGAAAAACAAGAAGGATGGGACTTGATGGGCTAAAGCTGGAATTGGACAATGAACTCCCAATATGCAAATGGAGCAGAACTTACAAAAGTGAGAGACCCCATGACCAATCGTCCATTCTGTGACCATTTTGGGTCCATCTTGGGTGTAGCCCTGGCTGGGCTCTTGTGCTGCCCAAGGTGTACTCATTAAAACCTTGTAATGGAACCCTGCTTTATTCTTTAACTTCATCTAGTCTCTGTTCTAGGTCAGCCTTCACAAGGCATCACTCCTGGCAAGGAGCTGCCTGCTGCAAGCAAAGCAGGAGTAAAGCACGTGCAGAGACTCACGGTACCAGCAGGCTAGGAGAGAGGAGGTGTGTAGGATCTTCCTCCATAATAATTACATTAAATTTGGGATTTTCTTTCTCTGTTTACTGTTTTTACTCAATCCCTTCCCACTCCACCAAACCTGCCATGGCAAAGGGATGCTGCTGTAGGGGTGTGAGCACACCAGATCCCCCAGCAGCTGATCTGCTGCCACGGAGCAGGACCCAGCACCCAGAAAATCCTCAGCCCACATCTGGCAGTGACAAAGGCTTTTACCCCACAGCCCCGTGCCCAGGTACAGCTGTTAAAGGCTGGCAGAGCTACACATCCCACTCCTCCAGACCGCTGGAATCACAGCACGGTGCACACTGCCGGTGTGAACAGGCTCAGCCACGTTCTGGGGGAGCTGGCTGGCTCTGCAGACACAGGGAGTCCTTGGCATCCACTGCCACGTGCCCTCCTCGAGCTCCAGCTGACGCAGATCAGAGGCTGCCGGCCCTGGCTTGTGGAAAACCCAACACATTTGCATCGAGACATGTTGTGCCAGACAACACCCACGCAGCCACGGAGCTCCTGTGGTCTCGCTCCCGTTCTGTCCATATCTGCTCAGAAACCCAAACCCTTCAGCTTCCCTCTGAGACAGGCTGCCTGTCTCTCCTGCAAGATGCTCCAGCCTAACAAAGTTCTTCAAGAGAAGCAAATTTAAAACTACTGCCTCAGCCAATGGCTCTTTAAGAAAAAAGAGGGAATTATCTACTCCCCCAGGCACCAGGCAGGAGCTGCCAGCAAGGACAAAGTGCCCCAGGTGCACTTTGGTGATGTGGCCTTGTCCCCTGCCAGCCTCAGCTGCTCTGCATCACCCACAGCAGATACAGCAAATATCCCAAAGGCAGAGTGAGCACAAGATCATCCCAGTCCCCTGCAAGCTCCTGGAGGCATCAGCCACATGCAGCTCATTCCTCTGATGCAGGCACAGAGAGGGAGGTTTTAGGAAAACACACTTCTAAGAGTCCTCCCCACCCCAGGCTGCTGCAGCTCAGTGCCTGGGTCCCTGCACCACCAGCCTAAGTGAGCATTTTGTTGTTGCTCAGTGTTTTGCAATGATTATTTATTATTCTTTAATCATTTATTATTATGAATAAAAACATTATTATTTGCAAAGTCCTCACCCCTCCAGACAGTAACACAGCTCTTAGTTCATCTCACCCTACTTATTCCTGGCCTTTGATGATGTGCTGCCTGCTCTTCTCTCCCTCCCTCTCTCTGTAGGAGTGTGGCTGGGCCAAAGGGGCTCCTCCAAACACAAGCATCATCCCATTTCCTCTGGCTGTCTCAGACTGGACCCTGCTGGGGTCTGTGAGGTGGAACCACACTCTTCCTGCAAGCACAGCACACTTCCACATGCTTAATATAGGCAAAGCAGAAAAGAAAAAGAAAAAAAAAAAAAAAGTCTAGAACTAATCCCAAAGACTGTTGGGTCACTTTGAAGACTTTTTTCCAACCTTCAGTCCCAGCTGTGCAGCTGAGCATTACTCACAGAGCTTCTAAAGAGCAAACATGCTGTCCCTGAGAGACATGTGAGCATCCCACTCCTCCAGGGAACCCTGCACAGCTGGAACTGCACTGCCATGGGAGCAAGAATATTGCACAGCTGGAACTGCACTGCCATGGGACCATCCCACTCCTCCCATGTACCTTGCACAGCTGGAACTGCACTGCCATGGGACCATCCCACTCCTCCCAGGAACCTTGCACAGCTGGAACTGCACTGCCATGGGAGCAAGAACATTGCACAGCTGGAACTGCACTGCCATGGGACCATCCCACTCCTCCCATGTACCTTGCACAGCTGGAACTGCACTGCCATGGGAGCAAGAATATTGCACAGCTGGAACTGCACTGCCATGGGACCATCCCACTCCTCCCAGGAACCTTGCACAGCTGGAACTGCACTGCCACGCTGCCCTTCACAAAATCAACCAGCCCAGCGTGCCTGAGGCCTCACCACAAATCCCAAATTAGCCCCGTTCCAAAATGGCAAGGCCAAAAGTAGCAAAAAAAAAAAAAAAATCCCTGCATAACATTAAAAATAACCCCAACAAAACGACAACTAAATCATGTGGAAAATATGCTGCCACCAGCATTAACACTGGGTTATGCAATGGGTTTAACTCCTCCAGGCACCACTTGTGTGCATGGGACAGCCCCAAGGATGGGACAGCACCTGGGTCCTGACTGGGATAAAGTACAATAAAATCAGTATATTGCAGCTAGGAGTGTCTACAGGACAGCAGGGATACAAAGCCATGGATGCCCCAGCAGCACCAGCAAATTCCCAAGGGAAATGCCACAGCTCAAACGTGCAGTTTTGTTTCTTTTTTTTCAGCTTCCCAGCATTGAGATTGCCTTTTCTTAGCAAAACTCCAGTGTCACACTGGCCTCCAAGGGGTTTGTGCCAGCAGAAGGAGAGTGCAGCCAAAGCACAGAACAACTCAGTGGCACACAGGGATTCTGTGTCAAGTGGCAGGGAGCACTCCCAGGAGTCACTTGTCTAAAAAAAAAAAGATCTTAGAAATAAATTGCAGCAGAGCAGAGGATTCTTGGGATGCATCATGGGCACATCCTGGATTTGTGTGACCTGCTGTGCTCTGAGGGGATGATGTGAAATCTGTGGTGCTGTCAGAGCCAGTGTCACCAAGCTGACCCTTCTGGAGCACTGCAAGGAAGGACGGGTTAACAAACACCCCATTACTGCCTGAAATCCCTGAGTGCCACCGAGTCCCTGGCAAGAGCAGGACCAGACCTCACATGATTCACCATAGTCACCTTAACCCAACTGTTGTCCCTCACACAAGGGGCCATCACTTCACTGACAGGGCAGAGAGCTCAGAGCCTGCAGCTCTCTCGCACTAAAGTGTTCCTGGATAAACATCAAGCACATGGGAACAAGTGCTTGTGCCATATTTAGACCTTCCCTGCCAAGAAAACCCTGTTCACGTGGGCACAGGAGATGTGGAGATGGCCAGGGCAGCACTGCACCAAGCAGGGACAGAGCCAGAGCTCCGGCTCAGGCACGGCTGACTCAGGACAGCTGCTCCAAAGTTGATCTTGCCAAAGGCTCGGGGCTGTTGCTCTGTAATTGATGCATGTCAGACACGAGCCAAAGCCAACATCTGTGAAGCAGCAGATGAAAGCCACCCCGCAGGGAGGGAAGCCCCTGGGAGCCCCCCAGGGACCCTCCTGCTCCTTCAGCCAGCTGGATGATGTGTGCTTTGGGATGGGCTTGGCCAGGGGCTGCTGGAGCTCCTGTGCTGGTGCCACGAGGCTGCCACAGCCTGGGACACTGCGGGGAGGGCATGTGAGGACAGCCATGGGCTCCCCAAAATCCCGAAGCCAGGGGTTGGTAATCCTCCCTGAGGGTCTGGGACAGGGATCTGCAGGACTGCAGACACACAAGGGTTAAAGGACCCTCGCAGAGGCTGAACTGGGAATGTCTCACCCACCCCAGGCCTGGCTAAACCCAGCAGCTCCATGCTCTGCTGGTGATCTGGAGTGGGGTTGGTCACAGACCTGGTGCTCAGTGACTGCAGAGGAACCAGAGAGAGGCCAGGAGGAGCACCTCTGCCACGGCCACCCATTAATAGATCCAAACCACCTCACACTCTAGGGATGCACACACAGTCAGAGACAAAATGGCAATGTTTGGGAGTAAATCCAGGAAACACCAAGCACTGGCCACCTTTCAATGATGCTGCAACCAGTTCTGCAGAGCTACAAGCACCCAGAAGAGCAGGACACTGTGGATAACTTCCCTCCACACAACAGAGGATGGAAATACCATGGGCTTCCAGATTTGTGGGATGGGTTCATGCAAACACAGAAAGCAGGTTCAGAGCAGTGAACAGTGGTGTATCAGGGTGGGAAAGCACAGCTGACCAAGCTGAGTATTCACAGACGTTTTCACAGGAGAAGTTTGAACCATCTTAACCTTTCAAGTTTTGGGAGCAGCTCTCTTGGAGAATCATGCCAGTAGGGTGTCACAAAGACATTTGTAGCTCGAAAGAGAGAATCTACAGCTCCTGGATAAGAACAGCTGGCTGTGGGGACTGCGGCACACATAGCCTCCAGGACCTCTCCCCCTGGCACGCTGAGCAGTGACCACAGGCTGTGGAAATGGATCCAACCTGCAGAGGAGGTGACAGGGGCACAGTTCTCCCCTCCGAGGGGATGGGACAAGTCTCAGCAAAGCCAGGACTGGATATAATCCCAGCATGACCCAGGCACTGCTGGTTTTTTCAGCTGCCACGGGACCCCCTGGTGCTGAAGGCGGCAGGTCCCTGCTGGATGTGTGGGTGCCAGGGAATGTGAGGCACAGCTCACTCCAAAGCTGAGGTGGCTCAACCTGGCACAAAGAGTCAGTGCCACAGAC